ACCAACCAGCAGCTGTATTACCTTTCCTTTTATGGCAAAAAATGGTGGTTGAAACTCCTTGTTGAAGAACACATCTCCTTTGGTCATCCTTTGAGTTTCTAGTGTAAGTTTATTGAATTTTCTTATTGAAAAACCCTACCTTTTAATCTTTTAAAGTTTTCTTCTTGGTTTTAAATCCTTGAATATCTTATGAAGGTGGGCTCTTGGTGGAAAAGAAGCATTCTTGATGGGAAAATATTGGATCTTGAGCTAAAGGAGCCATCTTGAAGAAGTAAGACATGAATATATGGAAAAGATGACTAAAAACCCTTCTCCTCTCCACTTTTCATTTCGACCTTGAAGAGTTTATGATGATGATGATGTTGTAATTTATTAAAAAATGGAGTCCTGGTGTCTAAAAGTGTTGGTGGGTGTCTTAAAAATTAAGAAAAATGAAGACTTGTAAGGAAAAAGTGTCACCTTTGTGTTAATGTGTAAGTTTCTTGAAGAGGATGAACTAAGAACCCTAAAACCAACCTACAATGATTCGGCCATATGAATCTAAATTAGGGTTTGATGGTTAAAAATAATAAAGATGACACCTTGATGGACTAATTTTGCTACTAAAACATTCGGCCATACAGGTATCACCTAGGGTTTGAAAATTGAAAATGGTTCTAAGACTTAAAAGGGAGTTCTGATGGCCAGCCTATGCCCCTTCCTACGTTGGCTATAGATAATCGTCCTGTGCAAGAACCAATGGCTGTGATGTCTGCTCGTATGACTATGGTGCAAGGTGCTACTCAGCGCCAATACTTAATTCAACGGTCGAATGCTGTACCGGAAAATGTTACCTGGGAGGCAGAAGGCTACCTTCATCTTTGTTACCCATCTTTGGACCTTGGGGACAAGGTCATTCTTGAAGACGCGAGGAATGTTACGCGTAGGACCTCAATGAGGGAAAAACAACCCTCAATACTACTTAAAGGACTTTGTAGCTTAAGCTGCCACATCATCATGGAGCCACGCCAGCTGTCACGTGGAGCTGTAGTGAGCTGTAGCTAAGGGAAGTCAGCATATTAATAGGAAATGTTAGTCGGTTCAGCAGCACTAACTGCGTGTGTGGTTACTGAGTTGGTATATAATATACCCATAGTGTAATTGGACCATTTTACTGGAAATTTGAAGTAAATCGTTCTTTCTTTTCATCTGTTTTCTCTGTTTGGTTCTTCTTAATTAGCTCTTTAGCTTGATCGTATCTCCTACATGTATAACATATGAGAAACAAGCCTTCATACTCAATACGGTGTATTCTCCCTTCTAGCCAAGTCAAGTTCCACATAGAGGCGCGCATAACATTCTCGTGTTTATTCCATGGTGGTAATTTGATCAATCCTCATTGTTTTGCCAAGTTTATCAGCCATAGCTTTCAAGAAGACACCTTCATAGTACTCCATAGGAATGTCGAGTAGCCTATTAATCCATGCAACTATTTTCTTAATAGAGTCCTGATAGGGATTTAAAATCAGGCTCCCAAGGTCCTATGGCTAGATAATGGCCAAGGATAATCGATGGGCCACGATAAGTCGATAATCATCGGCAGAGAATTGGACAGTGAAATAATCATTGGCAACATCAGAGACTACGAGAGATCCTTGTTGAGCCCAAAGTGTCTCTAGTCTCTTCTGCATAAATGTCACGCCTATCTTATTACCAAGGAGTTTGACTAGCTAAGAGTGTAGAGAACCACACCTTACGCATTCGTTGCCTCGCCTTTTGAGTATAGTAGAAATGCAAAAACCATCAGATGTGAAGCATTTGATTCCTCACTCGTTGGCCCCACCCTCAACAAGTGTGTCTTCCTGGTCTTTCTTCTCCTTCGTCATATCCATATAGTCAAAGCAGTCCTCCTTACCATTATATGCAATTAACATTCAGGAATGATATATTTATCACCGTAAAAGTTTATCACTTTTACAACTAATCTAATTATGATTTCCGTCAATCTAACTATTATAATTTATTGAAAATTATTGAGTTGCATTTATTAATTAATTAATAACCTAATAAATTATAATTTATTAAATTGAAAAAAATAATAATATTTGGATTATTTGTAAAAGTGGTAAACATTTTTTGTGATAAATATATCACGCCCGCGTTAACATATCCGTAAAGAATTGAATTGCCTCTTTGATTCCTCAGCCACATCAACGGTTCAGAACGAGGGGCCATGGTTGTACTATGTGAGAAGGGTGCATCACCACCCTTGTTGCGCTTTGTGCTATGTCTTAGAATGTTGTCCTCTTCCGCAGATTTTTCAATTGTCATTATATGATAAGAGTTTCCCCTGCGCTCCATTCTCTCAGTCAGATTGCTCTGCTTATTTTTCACCCGTTTGGCAAATTCAAATTCAAAGACAATTGGACATAATGGGGCTGATTTTAAGATTTTAAGTATAATTGGTAAGCATTAAAAGTTTCAAAGAAGTTAGTTTTAAATATATAATTTATTTTAAGTTAAAAATAAGGAAAAAGTTTTTGTCATTTTAAATGACATAAAGTTACGTCATTTTAATAGAGAGATAGCCACCGAATAAATTTTTTATTTAAATTTTAAATAAAAAAACCACCAACTTTCTCTCAGCCATATTTTCATTTTCTGAGTCTATCTCTCTTCTAAAATGACATAACTTATGTCATTTAAGATGACAAACACCAAGCCTTAAAAATAATAAAAAAATGTATACTTTAAATTTTGTTTTATTGTGTTTCATTTTTATTGACGGTTCCTAATTTTTCTTTGAACTTTCATGTACTTTTTCATAACATTTGAATTATTTTTTATTCGTGTTTTATCTCCTATATTTAAAATTTAAACAAGCAAGTATATTTTTATTAAAAAAAAAAAAACAGACAATATATAGTTATTATTCCTCCCTCTGTTGGGGTTTAAGGTAACCGTCCACTAACGTGTACATAACTTGGTTTCACACGTTTACGTGACACACTCCACCACTTGGAAAGTGGAAAAAACTATCCTCGATAACATATTTCATCCATGTAAATAATCTTGGAGGTGGTTATACTTACCACTAGGGGTGAAACTGGGCCGGGTCGGTCCACAGGTGTCTACGGCTCGTTCCATTAGTGGTCTTATCTGGCTTGACCTTTTTACTTGGCAGGTTGAACTTGGACTGGTGTAAAAGTTTGATTACATAATTGGACCGAAGTGTAAATATATTAAGCCTGACCCATGAGTCTCCAGGCCAACCCATCTTGTCCAAACTAAATATATTATTTTATAAAAAGAAAGAGAAAGAATGTACGCATCTTGCAGAATCAATTAGCTTGTATTTATTTCATTCGTTTCTTTTGCATTGTACCGAAAGATAAATACTTTATGAGCCTCGTTATTAGCTTTGCATTATACCTTATCAATGCTTTGGTTAAACAATTCATAAGATACAGTAGTAAGTAGTTCGAAGCATTTATATACGCTTTTTTTGCTGACATGTGTAGATTGTACAAGAGTGGAAAGCAAACAAATCTTGGCTTCCAAAAGAAATAGTAGATGAGGTATTTGATTTAACTTGATTTGAATAATCTTGAATTCATTAAAATTGATGCGTTACATTAGGAAAAATAATTTGTTGTGATATTTTATGGATTTTTAATATATACATGGCAAGATTTGAATATAGAATTTTGATATAACATCAAATGCATTTTCATTTTTAAATTGATGTGTTTTTTTTTCTATTCTTTATTCTTGTTTTTTTTTTCTATATTTACAAATTATTTGCCAACTTATGTAACCTTGGAATTGTATTTGTAGGGGAGAGAAGATGAAGATAAGTTTTTGGCTACTCTTGTAGTCATCATGATGTGTCTGTTATGTTCATGTAGTTATTTTAATTTACATAGTATGGATTGACTTGTTAGATCTGATGAAATATATGTTATTTAGTTTGAGCATTTTGCTTTTGACAGTGTCATAAATGCATATTGTGATGAGTTATTGTTGTGATTCATGGTTTTGTTTGGACGTTAAAATTGTAGTTTTTGTTTTAACAATAGAATTTGAGTATTTTGTGGAATTGAATCATGATCTGCTTGAAAGTTAAAAATTAACAGGCCCGTTGGCCGAGCCGGACCATTTGTTTTTTTTTTATAAATTAACCAAGACAGGCTAACAATTAGACTCATACTATACTATCGGGTCAGGCCAAATTAAAATTTTTCGGCATAGGCTTGGGCTTTACGGGGCAAAGCTCGGCCCAGCCCAGCGCACTTTCATCCCTACTTACCACCATTACAACTCCATTGATTTAACTTTGATTAAGGAATAATAAGATTAGTGGTAAAAGGTAATAAGAAAAAATATAGTAAATATAACTTATCCCAATAATATTAGTTGAGTATTTTTTTTTTCTTTTTTGTTTTAAGCATTCATTATAAAATCAGCAATAAATGCTTCATAATTTATACTACTTAATAAATGTACATTTTAGCGTCTTCTAGTTGCTGGTCACTATTTTCTATCTATGTCAATGTAATAAATTTGTATTTACACTTCATTTCTTAAAGTGAAAATCTCAAATCTCTTAACTGCTAAGTTTTTGTTTATGAGTAAGATGAGATCAATATAAGTAAGAGGATCTCAATCGTCTAGAGGAAATCAATGGAGATGGAAGAATGCATTAAAAAAAAAAAAGATTGAAAAAACCATTACTTTTTTTTTTTTTTTTTGTAAATAAAAACCATTACTTTTGATTTGTACAAGAATGGTTGTTGAGAAATTGCACATGACCTCAACGTGACAGGATCCACTCGAGTGTCATGCATACCGCACCAAGTCCCTCAAAAACCACGTTTGAGGCATCTTATTAAACAGTTTCTGCTTTACGTTTTTTTTTTTCATTTGAGGCGTCTTTTTCATTTCTCGGACGTTTCTGACAAAACAACAACACTCCAATCCAACACCAACAAAGTCTCTCTCTAAGGTGTAAGAAACACAAGATGTTCCGCATAAGCAACACCTTGGTTGGTGTCCTCAACATACTAACCATGTTTCTGGGTCTCGCCGCCTTGGGTGGCTCTGCCTACATCCACATCCACGGCGGTGCAAACGGCAACGATTGCCAGAAGGTGCTGCAGTACCCGCTCTTATTCGGAGGCCTCTTCGTCTTCGTTATCTCAATGCTAGCAATCGTTGGCTCTCTGTGCCGTGTCAACGCCGCTCTCTACATTTACCTTCTCGTCGCGTTCTTCTTCATTGTAGGGCTCATGTTATTCACAGTTTTCGCACTTTTCGTCACCAACAAGAAGGTTGGGGAACAGGTATCTGGGAAAGGGTTTAAGGAGCATAGGATTGGGGATTTCTCTCATTGGTTGCAGCATTATGTGATTAACGACCAAAGATGGAGCGAGATCAAGAGTTGTTTGATGGATGCACGTTTGTGTCAGAACCTCGCCGTCCACGGTGGTCGGAACAACAATGACTCTCTCATTTTCAAACCGTTGTCTACCACACAGGTTGGTTTTTTTTAATTATTCGCTTCCCAATTGACAAAAGCTTTTCAAAACGGCAACCACTAACAAAGTTTTTTTTTAAAAAAATGGTTTGTGAGATACACGTTTAACACATTAATTGGGTAAGAAATCATATAAAGTTTTGAAACTCGGTAGCAATAGGTATATGATTAAGGGCAATAGTTTGGAAATCTTGGGTATCTTTCGTTTAGAGAGAAAATTAAAAAATAGATATAATTATTTTGGTAATTGATTAATGTGTATCTTTGTGATATGCAATTGGGTGACAATTGTTAATTTCAGCAGATCCGGATCCTGGCATTTAAAAAAATAAAAAAAATAAATACCTTTTTTAGTTGAAATTGTGGTCTCTCACAAATTCAAAAAAGATCCATATTAAAAGGGACTAAAATGGGTCCACCTTCCGCCTTGAATCGTTAGGACTGAGTAATTTATTTTTGTAAAGGACTAAAGTGAGCGTGTTGTTTTTTTGGTTAGGGATCAAAACCATGTTTTTTTGGTTAGGGATCAAAAATGGTCTTACTCTACAAAAAATATAAGAAGTATATTTGTCTTTTTATATTTATATCTGAGAATGGTTGCTTTTGGTTTATGTTATTTTGTGTGTACAGTCTGGGTGCTGTACGCCACCGGAGCGATGCGGATTCACAATGAAGAACACAACATTCTGGGAAGTTCCAAAAACGGGTCCAACAGTGACCGATCCTGATTGCACAACTTGGAATAACAGTAAAGACAAACTGTGTTACGATTGCAATTCATGTAAAGCAGGAGTGTTGGCTGACATCAGGAACCAGTGGAGACATCTCACTATATTCAATGTCTGTGTGCTTATACTCGTCACCATTGTTTACGTCTTGGGCTGCTATGCCATCAGGAACAATAAATTAGACTCCAAGTATGACGAATACCATAGATACAGAACATACCCTTGATTCTGGTTGAGGATGTCTTAAATTGTTAATTACTGTTACTTGTGTAGACATACCCAGCCACATGATTCATTGGTCTTGGTATTTAATTTTCTTTCAGTTTTTTTTTTTTCCTATAATAGATTTTTTTTGGAATCTATATGAAGTCTCACCATTAGGAGATTATTTAGTGTGGCCCGGATCATCATTTTTTAGGTGGTCCCTTAGTGTAAATGGAGGGGTAAAATTAGAAAAGAGAAAAAATAATAAGAGTAAAAAGAGAAAAGAAAAATTGATGATGTGAGAGGGAGCACCAGATCATTGGATGGTCCTGGACCATAATAAATATTACCCATCATTAGAGTGTCTATGTAGAAACTCTTATATGGGTGCGTGACTAGGTGGCAGCATTTGGTATTGGAAAATATTTCTCACAACTGTTTCCATGAAACGGTTTGAGTCATGTCGTTTTATTAACTTGTGTTGAATAAACGTTAAATCTGAAGTTATGTGTCAGTTTAATTTTTAATGGGTTTAAATTTGTCAGTTATAGATAGTTTATGAGTCATGGGTTTAACATTTATTTTAGGAGTTTTGAAAGGTTAAGAGTCCGTCGTTATGTTTTGTTATTAAGTTTGGTTTTATTTTAGGAGTTTTGAAAGGTTAAGAGTCGATCCTTATGTTTTGTTATTAAGTTTGGTTTTAATTGTAATTTATGGTTATTTAGTGTTGCAGTTTTAGAAAGGCAAACTATAGCCTATAAATAGTCTAGTATATTGTTTGAGAAATATAGAATTGAGAAGCAACCAAGTTCAGTAAAAATTTTAATACAAGATTGTTCTGTTTCTCCACAAGTCCTCACAACATTGTTGAATAGTTGTTTTTATTTGTTGGTTGTATTTGAGCGATCCTACAACTTGTTAGATTTTATTTTGGAAAAACATTAACCGTCAAAGATAAAGGGATTGCATTTTGGATCTAGATCCTCTGGAAAAAACAAACATGATATGATCATGTGGAGAGGAATCATAATCATATAAAGGTGGATCAATGGTGATAAAGGAAGGTGGAGAGAAAATATTGAAATAAATAGTTATAAAATTGAAGAATTGTGTTGCTCTTTAGCATTTTAGCATTTGGAGTTTTTAATTATAATTAAAGGATAATATTTAAGCATGTATCTTATTTAAAAGGGGAAGGATACACTAACAACCAGTTAGTGTTACTACCAATCAATTTCACTGTTAGATCAGTTATGTTGATCTAACAGTTATATTTACTTTCATCTTTGTATGATTATGATTCTCCATATTTAATATTTTATATTTATTTTTACCTTTGTATGGTTATGATTGCCTATATATTTAATGCTTTCACATTAAATATGGAGAATCATAACCATAGAAAGATGGAAATAAATATAACTGTTGGATCAACTTAATCGATTTAACGGTGAAATTGATTAGTAGTAACACTAATTAGTTGTTACAATATTTTACCCCTATTTAAAATATTAAATATAAGAATTTATTTGTATATTTATATTTAAAAAATAAAATGCGTGGATAAATATTAATCGCTAAATATTAGAGACTAGCATCTTCTTAAAAATCTCATAGTACTGTATGAGTATCATATGTATTATATATTAGACCAAAATTCATTGGGAAGGCCCCCTTCGTCACATAACTCATTTCTTTAGAAAGAAAACAACCAAGAGAGAGAGAGACTCCCAAAGAGCCAACAAATCAATACTAAACTTCTAAAGAAAGGATACAATTCGTTTTCTTTTTTCTTCTCTCGTAAGCTCATCTCTATTCACCACTCCAGTTCCTCAACCACATTCATCTTCACATGCAAACACCCTATAACCCAACCAAGAGTCCAGTCATCCATACACTCTCTTCACCTCTCTCATTGCTCTTCGGGTGGTCTTGGTAGGAGCTTAGGACAGTAAATTAAACCACAATTCATGTCTTGCATGCAAGGAGAGTGGCAACCAGAAGACAAGGAGCAAGTGTGAGCAGAGAGGTGTAGCCAACCAAGAACTCAGATTATAAGAAGTCACCACCATTAGGTAAGTTATAAAAACTGGTTTCCTTTCTTTGTTATAAATGCTATTTTGTGCTTGAAGATTGCATGCATGACTTTCTATGGAGGATATCATCCCTGTTCTAGAAGGAAAATCATGAGAAACATGTTCAAGTATGATTTTGAGTTAAGTGATGAATTAAACCGTGTACTTTGTTCTTTGTCATTCAAGATTATAACCTAGCATTGCATGCATGATCTATAGACTTTAGAAAGAGTAATATGATGGACTGAGACTGGCACCATGGGTTTCAACCTTGGTAAGGACCTTGGTAAATTGCATGCAGGTGAACTCTGCATTTCAAACTTCGCTCACTTGTTGTAGCGAGGAGCTCAAACAGATATGTAAGGAAACTCTTTCTGGAGCTGCTCGCTGGTGCAATTTGCTCCAACAAGCAACCCCGTGAGCAGCCCCTGATAGTCCATCCTCCTCGGGTCTTCATCGTTGGTGCAGTTTGCTCCAGCGAGCAATGCAGCGAGGATGCCTGTAAACTAGAATTTAATATGCGTGACATCCAACCACATGATTAATGCATAACGATTTTATTTACTCATTTATTTGTTCCATTATAGCATGTTACTCTTTAGAATCTTGATACGTATACATATAGTGCAGTTGTGGGCATAATTCCAGATTGCTTTATTTGCTATTTCTATGTTGGACAAGTTGTTATTTCAGAGAATGATAGACATGCTACAGTTAAAGTTATGAGTATTATTCTATGATATATCACAAGGTGGGGGTGAGAGCATGTGTTTGGTCTTCTCCCGTACCATCTTTGGGAGGGGTTTAAAGCCTTAATCCTGCACCCGCCCCCGAATCGGACTAATCGCGAAGCAATGAACCGATTGAAATATTTTCAAAAAGAGAGAGTTATGAGTATTATTCTATGATATATCAAAAGTGTCATACAGTTACAATTGTAAGGGATGCCTCATGTGTTTGCTCTCAATAGACATATATGTCCATAACGAACGATCACATACAACCGTTATATACGGATTTCACAGCCACTGTATGCGGGTATAGACAACAACTTAACCAAGGCCTACAAGCCTATTCAAACCCGCATCGTCTAAATGACCCTAACATCAACCTACGGTCATAATAAAACAGTAAAAAGTACTAAAAAGATAAACTAAAATACTGAAAATAAAACAATCTCCAGCAACAAGGAGATGTAATCAATCCTCCGTGTCATCTCCCTCAGCAGCATGGGATGACTCAGCAAATGGAGGAACTGGTGGTACTGGATGCATCGGTGCATGAGCAGCATCGGGTGCTGGGTAATATGGAGTTGGGGGCACAAACGGGTACTGTGGCTAGAATGATGTATAATCCACGCCCCCAGCCTGAGCTAATCCCTCAAGGATGCGAGTCTGGTAAATGTGATGAATGGACATGAATTTCATCTACGCCTGCATGCGCAAGTAGCTCAGTGAATCCTCGTAAACTAGCTCATATGGTAGAATAGATGCCCTGGAAGATGATGCAGATGAAGCGGCAGCTGGTGGAATCTCAAGAGCACGGGGTGGAAGAAGTACTCGGGGTGCTCTAGGAGATGCAGGAGTATTAAGTCCTATCGTGCCAGTCTTGACCACTAGCTCCTGATCAGACTTAGCACAAATGTTGGTATAAGTAAAGAAGTTCATAAGAGAATCAGGAGCAACATCCAACTCTTCCTCCTCAGGGATCTCCAAACCTGTCTGGACACACAGATGAGAAATCAAAGAAGCTTGTGCCAGGAGGTGCTCTTTCTTGCTACCCCGTACCATACGATAAATACGATCAGATAAAATAGCTGATATATCCAACCTCTCCAACCCGGTCAGAATATATAAGAGTGGAGCCCGCTCCATATTAACATCAGTGAGATTAGAAGAAGGAAGGACATTAGAATTCACAAACTGATGCCAAAACCTACACTCACCAGTCAACTCTTTCATCAGTAGCTTGTTAGGAATATTAGCAGACTTAAGTTTCCATTTAGAATAGGGTGTAGTGATCCCCCTTCTAATCATGTCAGCAAGCATAGGCATCTCCTCTCTATACAATAGCCGCCCGGCTGTAGGCATCATTCTGTTGAACAGGTCAACACATTCACAAGGACCTGCAGCATGGTCATAACTAGTCTGCAGAAATCTCTCAATAGCCTTAGCAGAGAATGACACATCAATCCCTCTAACCCGGGACATCCTAGTCTGATCCAAGTCTTCCAGATTAGCATTTGCACAAAATTCTTTAATAATGGTGCAAGAACCCGCACCGTTAATTTCGGAAATTAATCAATTAAATATGAGAATTAGGAAATAATTTCATAATTGACCCTAATAATTATGAGAAGGCTTAATTAATTATAGTAAGTGATTAAGAATGCTGAAAGTCACTTTTCTAACGAAAAGTGCAGATACCGGTTCTGCCTCACGGTATAAATGCGTACCGATGAACTATCTTGGAAAATTATAATAAGAGTGAGAATATTCCTAGAATAATATATAGGACTGGTAAAACAAGTTTCAAGTCGAAATAATGAGAACTGGTGCCAGAACTGATACTGGTTATGTAAAAGCGCGTACCAGAAAGGTGCTGCGAAAAACAATATAAAAGTATGATAAATCTTAGAAAAATGAGAAGGTTCAGAATCCTAAGTTTGGGATTAAAATGCTAAGCGTAGCTATTTGTGCTAATACAGTGTGATTAAGTTTAATCCACCTATAAATAGCTTAGCACAACTCCCTAGGTCAGAAATACCACTCCTCTACGTGCCTCCTTTTCTGAGTTTGACACTCTCATGCTTGCCACCCCATTTCCTTCGAGAAAAATCAACAAAACTCACTCATTTCCCTTGATTCTTCCCTCTAAATCATTGTAAACACTTGGTAGAGTGCATTGTGAGGTTGAAGGTTAGTTTTTGTTGGTTAGGGGTGCTGTTTGGGGAGGTTTAAGGTGATGTTTTCTGAGTTGTGAGAGAGGAGACCCTTTTCTTGGCATTTTGAGCTTCAAGG